GGGGCCACACTTCAAGTACTACATGTGTGCAAAGGAATAAAAAGATATTTGTGAATGTTCACCTTCTCCCACCGGAAACAAGGCCAGGGATTGGAAACTCTAGGAGGCTCTGGGTCTCATAGTACCTCCTAGACTGTGCAGGGTGGGTGGGGCTCCCACAGGTGTGTAAACAGAAGCTCCTTCCCTGGAGCCTTAGGGAGAGCCCAGGCAGAGGCAGGAAGGGTGGGATTCAGCAGTGAGTCGATAGCTCTCCTGACTTCCCTGCCCAGAAGGATGGGTACTCGTGTCTGTCTGCTGATAGTGAAAGACACTAGTGAGGGCTGGGAATGGAGCTTAATTGGCAGAGCACTTACCTAGCATGTATAATACTGTAGTTTGATACCCAGTGCTGTATAAACTGGACCCATACTTGCAATCCCAATACGCAGGAAGTTGAGGAAGGAGGATCAGAAATTCAAGGGCATCCTTGGATACATATTGTGAGGCCATTGTGGGACACAGGAAACCCTGGTTTTTTGTTTGTTTTTTCTTGACAGGGCTTCTCTGTGTGGCCCTGGCTGTCCTGGAACTCATTCTGTAGACCAGGCTGGCCTTGTACTCAGAGATCCACTTCACTCTGCCTCCCAAGTGCTGGGATTAAAGGCATGTGCCACCACGTCTGTTTGTTTGTTTGTTTTGGTTTTTTTTTTTTTTTTGAGACAGAGTTTCTCTGTGGCTTTGGAGGCTGTAGACCAGACTGGTTTTGAACTCACAGAGATCTACCTGTCTCTGCCTCCTGAGTGCAGTTATCAACTACAAGAAGGATTAAAGGCATGTGTCACTACCGCCCGGCCTTTTTTTTTTTTTTTTTAAGGCATTTATTTTATTGACTTCACCTCCTAAACACCCAGCTGTCTCCCAGAATGTCAAATTATTTCAAAGGGCAGCATAGGGGATAAATGGCTTCTAAATGGGGCTCCCACGGTTAGCTTGAGCCTAGTTCACCTTGTGGGAAAGGTGCTGGGCAGGACCAGGTGCCACAGAAGGGAAGGGTTTCTCTGAGACAAAGGATCCTGTTTAAGGTTGAGAGCAGCCTGGATATTGCCAGCTGCTACAGGGACAGAGAAACACTCCAGTCTCAACTGTCTCCTACCCTGGGAACGGAAACACTTGCCCTCCAACTCCCTAGGCGCCCCCAGGCTGTCTGCACACCCTAAGAATCTTTATCCCGATGTTGCCCTCCAAGCTCATTATCAACTGCAAGCATCTGAGACCAGGAAGGCAGACCCGTCAGGGTCCTGCTGCTGGGGCCTGGGGCCCTGGAGACCCTAGTCCAGGCTCATTTCAAGTGGCCCACCTCCTATTTACAGACTCCGTGCATTTGATAGACAGCTCCACCCAGGCTCTGCTGGACCAGGGCCAGCCAGCCCCCTCCCTTGGTGATTAACTAGATAAACTACAAGGTTTGCCCTGGGGCTTAGAAGTGCAGGGAGAGGGTAGATTCTATACACATCTTTCTTTTTTTATGCCCTAGCCCTCGAATATCTTATATAAGTTTGGTTAACTCGGCTTATCTGTCTCTTTTGCTATGATGACAAACTCTTTTCTGAAATTGCAGGGAAGGACAGACCAAGTGACTTCCAGAGGGAAGGGGTTCACTTGTGGGAAGGTGAACCCCAGATCTAGCAGGTAACCAATCAAACGCTGGAAAGTGATTTCCTGAGAGGAGTCTGGCCACCACATAGGCTATGGGACTCCAGAATATGTCTTTCACCTGGGCAGTGGTGGTGCACACCTTTAGACCCAGCACTTGGGAAGCAGAGGCAGAGGCCGAGGCAGATGGATCTCAGTGAGTGGAGGCCAGCCTGGCTACAAAGCGCGTGCCAGGACATAGAGAAGTTGGGTTTTTGTTTTGAGAAAACTTATTTTTGCCTTGAACTCTTGGGCTTCCAGGATCGTCCTGCTTCAGCCTCCTGAGTGGCTGGGAATACACGGTCTCAGCTCAACACCAAGATTCAATGTTATTTAAAAACCCTAAAATCCTGGGTGTGGTGGCACATAGTTAGTTAATCCTGGCACGCAGGAGGCAGAGGCAGGAGATCTCTGTTTGAGTCCAGTGAGGTCTACATAGTGAATTCAGGGTAGGCAGAGCTATATAGTGAGATGCTTTCTAAAACCAAACCAAAACAAACACAAAACAAACTCACAGCATCAAGAGTCCAGAGAAATTTTTTAGAAGTATATTTATTTAGATCACGTGTGTGTGTGTGGCTCTGTTCATGTGAGATACTGGGAGTTTCCAGCAGTAAGCTGTTTGATGTGGATGCTGGGAATGGAGCAACTGGTCCTCTGGAGGGACAAGTGGCATCAACCACCCTTCAAGCAAAGGCTTGGAAAAGGAAACGGAAGCAGTAAGGTGTGTAAATAGTGTGTGTGTGGGAAAGGACCTAAAGAGATTTTGGAGGACAGAGATGAAAATTTCCAGGAAGTGCTTCCAAGGTAAAACAAGTTTCCAAAACTGGACAGATGGCTAAATAGTAAATTTTCATCAAGTGTAGTGGCATACATCGGGAATCGAGACTGAAGGGTCAGGAATTCAGGGTCACCTCCAGCTACATAGTGAGTTCGAGGCCAGCATGGACCACACAATTCGTCTCGCACACACTTCTGCTGTCCAGATGCTGGCTGTCTACATGGGCGGCGCCACCACACTGTGATGTGCTACCCAGTCAGTGTGAGATGGGGAGGCTCTGGAGGGTCTCATCTCCTCAGTGGGACAGGACTCAGGGTCATGTGGAGAATCTCCACGGCCAGATGGGCTCTTCTTCCCGAGAGCCATGAGTTAGGTGATGTGGGAACCCTTTGAAACACTGATCCAGGCAAAACCCAAGCGGTCTGTTGTTTTTTTGAGCCAGAGTCTCAGGTAGTGCAGCTTGGCCTCAAACTTCCTGCTTGGTGGAGGATGACCTTGACCCCCTGGCCCTCCTCCATCAGTGGCCCGAGTGCTGGGATTATGGGTATGTGCCATCACACCTGCCTGACATGCTGCTTGGTGGGAATCAAACCCTAGACAAACACAGGATCAACTGTGCTACATCTCCAGATATAGCCAAAGATCACGGGAACCCCGGATTCTCTACTTCCCCCTGACAAGAGCTGACACTACAGAGATGTGAGCACATACCCAGTTCTTTCTTTTTCTCTTTTCTTTTCTGAGAGGAGAGCCGCTGTAGCCCAGGGTGACGCAACCCACCTCAACCCTCCTCCTGCCTCAGCCTCAGCAACGCGCCTCAGCCCTCAGCCTCATGGTTACTGGGAACACAGACTGTGTCACTACACTTGGCTTCTGAGGCTCAAACCCAGGGCTGCAGGCATGCCCAGCACCACTAACTGAGCCACATCCCTGGTCCAGGCCACAAACACGAACTTCATGTTCACCTGCCGCCTCCTTTCTCCTGGGATGTGCCCCGGCAATGCCAGCTTTGAGAGAGAAACCAGCTCAGCTCACCCACCAAGCTATGAAAAATCTTTATTGTTTTACTTTTTTCCATTAGACAGACTCTCAGTTAGAATAAGAAGCCACAGGACACTTGCTTTCCTCAGAGGGTGAGCCTGGCCGGTGCTTAAGAGTGAGCAGAGCCCACTGCTAGGACAGCTAGGACAGAGCCCACGCCACCGCCAGCGCTTGGCTCTGAGGTGGTCACAGGGACAACTGAAGGCGAAGCAGCCCAGTTTATATGCTCTCTGGAGCGAGCTAGCGAGGGGAGCCGAGAAAACCCATTTCTGCCCAGAGCTCAGGCACAGCTCCAGACCAGGCTGAGCTGGTAGAGTGTCTGTGTGTGTGTGTGTGAAAGACCTCACACTATGCCCGCACACACATTGCTCCGCTCCAGGACAGATGCCCCTGGCCCTTGCTGGTCAGGCAGGCATCTGTGGGTGACCCTCCACCGTCCTTGCTCCCTGGACTCAACAGCCTTGGCATGTTACTGTCAGCTAAAAGGGATCAAGTGCTGGAGGACACGGCCATAACGACAACATTCGAATTCTGGGACGAGGCTGGTCAGTGCAAACTATCCACCCACAATGAGGCAGCCCAGGGTTTGGCCTCATCACATATTGGCACTGGGCTCCTGCATACTCTCTGACACACGAGAGGCCTAACACTTGAGAAGGGGAAAGATGCTACAGCCATTCACCATTTCTCTAGCTCCCGGAAAGGGCAGGGCAGGGCAGGGTGGGTGGGATGACGCAGACCCTCCTCAGGAGCTGCTGTAAAATGTGACCCTGAGGGCCAGCTGTGGGGCCCACTTATTGAAGGTCTAGCTGGCTCCTTGTGGCCTTTTTATACACAAGCCATGTTACTATCCCTTTGAGACTGACCTGGGGAGATAGTGTACAGTGGGGACTTGGGCTCAGCTAGAACACACCTGCTGTCCCAGACCTACTGACCTCTGGCAATGGACCCTGGGAAGCCTAGCTAGGTAGATGCTTGGAGCCAAGGTCTCTGGGGTTCTGGGAGTGAAACCTGGGTATCTGCTTGGGTAAAGACCCTTCTTAGAATCTTCAGGAACTGGTGATGTTAAGTCCCAGGGAAGTGAGACATGGGGGGGGGGCAGCAAAGAGGATGGAGCTGCCAGCCAATGCTTCTGTGTTTAGCAGGCACTGGCCAGGCAGAAACCTGCGTAATCCATTCTCGCCCAAGGAAACTGGCTGGCTGCCAGCTCTTAGAATGGAATACATAAATCCTGCCTCCCCTGAGCTCTGGGCTGCTGGCTCAGGACAACACAAAGCTCCTTGGGGGCTGGTTTACAGTTGTGGACCTTACTCAGGGTCCCTGGGACCCCTTTGCTGGTGGAGGCAGGTGTGGTCATTAAAGCACATGCAATCTCCAGGTGTACCCTTAGGCTTCAAATAAGCAGCAGAGTTGAAGCAAGTCCATGGCAACGGGAGTCAGGGGTGAGCCAATGGGAAACAAATCCACATATTGACTGCCAATCAAATTCAAACACAAACCCGACCCGTGAAGGCAGCAGCAAGCTCTCTGTGTAATAAATATTGCAAAGCTCATTTGGTTTCTTTCTTTTCTTTTTTCAAGTCAAATATAACAATCAATATCCCCAAACCCTGTTTTCTGCATTCAGAATAGAGGAAGTTGATGATATGAGCAGAACACCTGCAGCCAATCAAATAAAAGACCATGTCCCAGAAGCCAATCACAATCTTTTTTCTAGTTTAAGCAGCCAATTGGGCCTCTTCACGTTCCTAAAAAAATGACCTAAATAAAGCACCAGAGCTCGGAGAGCTGCCGGGGAAGCCAGCTACCGAGGCGCACATTTTAAAAAAATAAAGAGTCAGAAATAAAAATAAAAGGTTTCCGTTGGTCAAGATTTAAAAATAAAAAGGTTTCTTCCTGCAGCCAATCACGAGTCCATCCCTTAAGCCAATCGCAAACCATCAGTGGCATCTCCATTGATGCCAGCCCTGCTGAGTGGCTGGCTGGGGTGGGGATGGGAGGGGGTAAGGGGAGCAGAGGGAGGGAAGAAGGTGGTTTGCTACCACTCAACTGGAAAAGGAGCCCCACAGATCTCTTGGCCCTTGGTAGCTTTCAGGACGTCCCAAGCTTTCAGCTACTGCCTCCGGTCTTCCGTCTCCGATCTCGAAAACGCCATCACCACGTCCTCTGCACCTGCAGACCAAGGAACAAGAATTGCTGATAGCTTCCGGTCGGCATCAAGACAAGGTGGAAAGGCTATGTTCACCGGGGGGCACCCTCCTCTACCTTCCCATCCCTGGCAACACAGTGCAGAGTGTTTCAGAGGGGCTGGCGATGTAATTCAGTTGGCAGGATGCTTGTGTTGCATGCAAAAACCCCTCGGTTTAGTCCCTAGCACCACACGAACTGGGTGATGTTACTGATCCCAGTACTCAGGAGGTTCATGGTCCTCCTTGGCTATACAGTGAGTTCAGGGCCAGCCTGGGGTACATGACACCCTAAATAAAAGAGGGAAGGAGAAGATAAGTGCCTCTAATTAAGCCCATCTCCCCTCTCGTCTTCTTGCAGCCAAGCTGGGGACACAGCAGTGACCCAGAGGCTTGTTCAAGGCCACATTGCTAAGACATGAGACAGGTCTTTGGTCCTGGAGCAGGGCTCTGTCCTGCTCATGTCCCTGGATCCAAGGGCACTGCAGTAGGGTGGGCGGTAAGATTTTCTTGGAAACCTCTACTTTTCAAGTTTAGATCTTGGAGGTGGAGAGATGGTTCAGCAGTTAAGATCACCTACATGCTGGCTCACACCATCTGTAACTCCAGCTCTGGTGGATCTAACACTCTCTTCCAGCCTTCCATGGCCATCCCATACATATACACAGGCGAAATGCTCATATAGATAAAAAAAATAAAGCATGAGCATGCATTTTTTTTTTTTTTTTAAGACAAAGTTTTCCTGTATAATAGCTCTGGCTGTCCTAGAACTCACGTTGCAACCAGGCTGGCCTGGCTGCCTCTGCCTCCTGAGTGCCGGGATTAAAGCCAAGAGCCACCACTGCCTTTGTCTTGTTTTCCCTAAAACAGGCTCTATCAGAAGAGGCCAGAGGAAAGGGGAAGGAGCTGGAAAAGCTAACCGGCAAGTGGCAGTGCCTCTCTGTCCTTGCATCCCACACTACCTGTCTGCCTTTTCTAAATGGAGGGCCAGCATTTTGCCCTAACAGTAACAGTCAGGCTGCCTGTGGCCTTTCTGGCATACATCCCTGCTGCAATATTGGAGGCCAGCTCTCTAAAAGATGAGAACAGCAGGGACAGGAAAAGGCCTCCAAGGGCTGGGTTGGGTGGGGGTGGGGTGCAATAGGGCCTCTGGCACTTGGACTAGAGTCAGCATAGGGTTGGCTATCCTTGTCCACACCACGAGGGAGTGCTCCCTTCACACCTGGAGGAAGCCAGGAGGAGCCAGGAGGCACCTCCAGGTGGTGTTGCAGAAGGGGGGCACACATGAACATGTGACATCCAGGAGTCCTGCCTTTGCATCAGCACAATGGTGCTAAGGCAACTTACCCTGGCCACCTGCTTCTGCCTCTGGGACTCTGTACTTAGCAGCATTCTTTTTTTTTTGAGACAGGGTTTTTGTGGCTTTGGAGCTGTCCTGGAACTAGTTCTGTAGACCAGGCTGGTCTCAAAACTCAGAGAGATCCCCCTGCCTCTGCCTCCCAAGTGCTGGGATTAAAGGTGTGCGCCACCTCCGCCCCACTCTTATCAGCATTCTTGAGAGGAAGACAGCCTCCAGAAAGGAGCAGGTATCCAGGAAGAGACACCTTTGCTTGAGAAGCCCTGTGAAGCCTTTCTGTTTTCTTGGAAACATTCTGTTCTCACTCCAGTCCCGGGACCACGCACTGTCACTGCAGGCAGGGTTGTCCTAGCAACCACAGACTCCCGGATTACATCATACTCTACATGGTGGCTGAGCTGGGCACCTAACAGACACTGGTTTCTCTGAGAGCTGTCTTGAGGGAGTCGGAGCAAGATTGTCAGTGTCAACAGAAGATGCTTCTGTGGCACTGAATGGTGACAACACACTCTCATCTGCCTCTAGGCTTTCTCTGCAGTGAGCTGCAGGCACAAAAACAGCTCTGGGTCCCCAGGAGGGAATGGGGAATGTGCAGAGGGAATGGGCCACCGATTGCTTAGAGAAGCTCAGATCCGATCACTGGGCTCTGCAGACTGCTCAGTTGACATATGTCCTGTACTATGAAGACAGTAGCTGTGCTGGCTGTTGACAGCACCCTGACACAAGCTGAAGCCATCTGAAAGGAGGGAGCCTCAACTGAGAAAAGATCTCCTAGGATATGGCTGTGGGGCATCTTCTTATCAGTGACTGACGGGGGATGGAGAGGCACAGCCCTTTAAGCAGGCTGAGCAAGCCAGGAGGAGCATGCAGTAAGCAGCTCCCCTCCATGGCTCTGCATCAGCTCCCGCCACCAGGTTCCTGCCCTCACTGCTTGTGAGGATGAACAATGTTATGGAACTATGATCAAAATAAACCCTTTCCTTACCAAGTTGTTTTGGTCATGGCGTTTCAAGGACAATAGAAACCCTAACTAGGACAATGACCTTCTGTAGGTCACAGTCTGATAAGTATGTAACAAGACACCTAGAGCAAAAGCTTTGCAAGAGTTTTACCTTCCCACACTGCCAGCTGGTCACATCCTCCCCAAGTCTCTGCTATTGCTGGGGCTGCAGGAGTCCACAGAGGCTCTGTCCACCCCACACTCTCCCTCTCCTGTTTCTCTATCTTTCTCTTTTGGAGGAGGATGGTTTTGGGACAGTTTTTCTGTGTAGCTTTGGAGTCTGTCCAGAACTCACTCTGTAGATCAGGCTAGCGTCAAACTCACTGAGATCCACCTGCCTCTGCCTCTGAGAGCTGGGATTAGAGGCGTGCATCACCATTGCCTGGCTCCCTCTCCTGTTTCTACAGGACTTGCTGACTACTGGGACTTTCCTTCCTTTGAAGCTAAAAAGAGGGCACACTGATGTTCTTTCAGAGCATCCTCTGACCTGACCTGTCCACATCATTAATGGACCAGGTACTCACTCAGAGCATCCTCTGACCTGTCCACATCATTAGTGGACCAGGTACTCACTCAGAGCATCCTCTGACCTGTCCACATCTTTAGTGGACCAGGTATTCACTCAGAGCATCCTCTGACCTGTCCACATCATTAATGGACCAGGTACTTACTCAGTTAGAGCCCAAGGATGCTGGTGTTCCCTCTTTCCTCTGGAATTTGGATCAGCAAGCAACAAGGATGGGAGAGCTGCTCAGTTTGTCATCATGATTTGAGCCCTAAAACTCAGTTACTGAGCCAGGAGGGACACACAGAACCCTCTGGTACCCTCTTCACTGTCCTGTAAGTACCCAACCTCTATCCCCAGGCCAGAATTCTATTTTATATTGGGAAATTGCTTTAAGTTGTGTTACATTTGTTTATGCTGTAGAGTATTTAGAATATTTGTTTTAATGATGCAAAGTTAAGTTGCATTCTTCTTCTATTTTTTTTTTTTTATCCTTTTTGGTTTTGCTTTGTTTTTCCAGACAGGGGTTCTTTGTGTATCTCTGGCTGTCCTGGAACTCACTCTGTAGACCAGGCTGACCTTGAACTCACAGATCTACCCAGCTCTGCCTCCCAAGTGGTGGGTTTAAGGGTGAGTGCCACCACCGCCCCACTTGATAGAAGCTATGTCACTTCACCTGCCTAAAACACCTGATAGTCTAATAAAGAGCTGAATGGCCAATAGCAAGGCAGGAGAAAGGATAGGCAGGGCTGGCAGTCAGAGATAATAAATAGGAGAAATCTGGGAAGAGGAAGAAGCAAGATAGGACAGGAGAGTAAGACATCATCAGGGTCAGCCTCGGAGAGTGAAATTAAGATATACAGAAGTAAGAAAAGGAAAAAGCCCAATTCCCAAAGGTAGTTGGGATGATTTAAGAGAAACTGGCTATGCCAGGCTGTGGTGGCACACAACCTTGATCTCAGCACTCAGGAGGCAGAGGCAGGTGGATCTCTGTGAGTTCAAGGCCAGTCTGGTCTACAAGAGCTAGTTCCAGGATAGACTCCAAAGCCACAGAGAAACCCTGTCTCGAAAAACAAAAACAAAAAATAATAAAAAAATAAAAATAAAATAAAAAAGAAAGAAAGAAAAGCTGGTAAGAAACAAGCCAAGCTAAGGCTAGGCATTTATAAGAAAAAATAAACCTCTGTGTGTAGTTATTTGGAGGTTGGGGGTAGCCCCCAAAGAGCAAAGAGTAAAAAGTAAACAAAAATCCAATGACATTTATAGGTAAGGCTCTACCTTCCCCATTGGTACCCACTGTCAGAACTTGTGTTCAGAGCTTGTGTTATTTCCCACCAGATGCTGGTGAGCCCCGGGAAGCAGGAGCTACTAGATGCTCCTGAATGTCTTCTCTAATAAATTAAACAGTTAAACAGTAAGAGTACTGAAAGCGGACAATGCATCTCACACACACACACACCACCACCACCACCACACACCACAGATGTGGATCTCCTATGAATATAGACAAAAATATTTAGCAAATGCATAGAAGAACATATAAAAAAGGGATTGTATATCCAGACTCTGGGAATGCAAGGCTGGTTTAACATCTGAAAAATCACTTGATGCAATATGGTCTACCTACAGATACCCACACTATCACCTTTACACAGGAAATGAATAATAGATCCAGCATCCTGTCATGACAGAAGATGCATCAAATAAGAAACATGGGATTTCCACCCTGATAAAGGGTACCTACCAGAACCACAAATGTCACCATACTGCATGGTTAAAACTCACCCCAGCACGATGGGAACAAGAAAAGGTCTGTCTGTTCTCACCATTTTTACTCACATCGATTTTTGTTTTGCTTTGGGCATTTGAGACAGGGTCTCACGCAGCCCAGACTTGCCTTTAACTGACAAGCCTCTTGCCTCAGCCTCCCTAGTGCTGACATGTCAGACATGTACCACCACACTTGGCTTTTCTAGATTGTTCTGAAGGTTTATTCCTGGGCAATCAGGCAAAAATAAATAACTAAATAAATAGCACACACATTAGAAAAAAGGAAGTGTTCTGTTTTTGTTTGTGGATGTTATAATCGTATATGTAGAAATGCTCTGCAATTTCTACTTAATA